CTATTAGCATCTATGGAAAATAGTACACATGTCTACTAATGTCACAGTGTACCTGCTTCCAAAAAATCACTACTTTATTTTCATGATTCCTTTTTGGCTAGTGGGGAACCTGGTCTGACCTGACTCATGCAACATCCTGAGAAACAGTAAAATCAATGATTGGCAGGAACAGGCCATCCCATCTAAGATCCCTCTTCTTCCTGCAGACTCATACTGCAAAGCAGGCAAAATAGAAAGGATCCTACTCTGTAGTCTTTCATCTTTGAAAGAGAAAAAGTCCTTTAGGCTTCATGCAAACTCCCTTTAAGGTCCACATGCTCTTTAAGACAACAATCAGTCCTAGAGTTAGAAGGACCTAGCACAGCAGCACTTGAATAGAAGAATAAGAGTCCATGTACTCTGCTCACGGAACAAGAGCTGGAAGAAAGCTCAGCAGTGAAAAGAGCACAGGTAATTTCATCTTTGAAAAGAGGCTCCATCCTTGTGGCCTCTTAAAGGCAAATGCCAGGATGAAAACAAGGCCTCTTCTAAGGTGATAAAGAACTAGTTCCTTTCCTGTAGATGAAGAAAATTGTAGCTGAGGAGGAGATAAATGAACTCAAAATAGACAAAATTCACCAGTATAAAGGTCTGTGAAGTTCATAACTTCCATGTGGGATTTCAAGTGAACTTTGCAGGTTTTAATCTTCATACTAAAATTCAAGAGCATGTAAATTTTGCTTCAAGTTACATTTTTGAAACACCTGCACACTCTTACTGAATATGTTTCAAAGAACTAGGACAATTCAGCTAAGCTTTTAAACACATCATGATCCATAAAGCTAAAACTTCACTCTTATTTTTAATCTATTTTCTGAAATCAATAAATCTCACATGAATGTACTAGGGTTTTGCATGCATCTTTCTCTCACTTCCATTTTAAAAAATCCCTTACTAACTTGGCAATACATTTTTATCAAACCTGAATATCACTAGGGTTTTCAAGAAAATCAAATATCTACTGCTGTTGTGAAAAATAGGTAGCCTAAAAGAGTAGTGACAAGACCTAAGCACCCTGCTAAAGGAAAAATCTTGATGTGTGAGTTCCCATTCTGTCAGACCAGATAAACATCATGGAAAACATTTAACAAAATCACAAACTGCAGGAAAAATTGAAAATTGAGACCAATTTCACAAGATACAGATACATGAGAATGTGTGCAACTTTTAGTGCTGGTAGAACTGCTTTTCCTTATCTGAACTACTTTTTTTTTTTTTTTAATACTAAAGACCTGATATTGACCTTTCCATGCAGATACACTATTCAAGTTTCCTTCCTATTTATGATGTTTTACTTTACTAAGGATATAGTTATTTTAAAAAAATCTGGAAGTTGGAGTGGTACATTATAGTTTCAGAGACAGTTCAGAATATAAGTATTTTTCAGAGTTATAACCATGAAAGTATATGGTGATTTTTTTTTAATTTTTTCAGTTCCTTTGAATATTTTCTCACTTTCTTAAGGAAATTAAAGTATGTCGAAAAATGTCAATTGCTGACAAATAACTGCAAAGATTTCAAAAAGTACCATGGCATAATATCAGCTTGATTGCTAGCTTTATGGAATATGAAGAAAACATAAATATAATTCCTATTTTAAACCAAGCAGCCTAAAGAAATGAATGCTTGTAACCTGGTAACAAAACAACATTTTCAATTAATGTAGTGTAAGCCTTGACAAGGCAAATATTTCTGACAAATCTAATCATGTTTTGCTTGAAGATAAGCTTACTTCCTAATTTAGTCTTGAGGGTTTCTTCCCTCCACCCCCATTTCCCCCACTTTAGTTCTATTGTTTAAAAAGACACAAAAATTATTTTTTAAGCAACAAAGGTCTCCAAATTTAATACATCAGCAGTCCAGTTTCATAGGTCTATACATATTCAAGTTTCTTTTCTTTATAATATATTGCCTGTGCATTCTATCAATCTATTTCAGTTCCTGGAAGTACAATGATGGTATGTTTCACATTTCCTGCCAAGAACATTGGACAAGCTAAGAAGGAAAAATTCAGGTCAATTGCAACTTTTTTGGTTGAAAAATAATGAAAAATAATGAAAAATTGGCAAGGCAGCAGTGGGGAAAGCTATAGGGAGATTCAAGATATAGACCAGTAAAGAAAAGTATGTGTACCTTCTATAGATGGCAAAAGGGTCAGGTAGCATACAAAATGGGTATAAAAAGATCAAACGGGGAAAAGCAATTAACCCCTTGGCACTGGGAATTGGGATTTCCTGACACCAACTGCTAATACTGGCCTCAAGGGGTTATAGGATCAAATAATAATAAGCCAAGTCCTGAAATAAAAGCTATCATTTTAGACAGTAAGGGAAGGCGTTTCAAGTACATTCTGGGCTGCCAGACTAGCATGGTACAAGGGGAAGGGAGGAGAAATATGCTGAAAGATAAATGGTAAAAATAGTTTTCCAGATTTGGACTCAAAGAGACTTCAACCAACCTTTTTTTTTTTTTTTCTGAATGAAACACACTGTTTTGTCCTATATATCTGCGATTTGTGACCCTAGCCAGCTCTTTTCTGATACATAGAGAGATTTAACCTCCATTTTTTGAGCAAGTTCCCCATCATTTTGTGACTAACTTCTGAACATTGTCTATATTAGCTGTAGGTGGTTTACTTAATTGCCTTAAACATTATGGTTCTTTTACTTCCCTTCCTCACAGAAGGGAAAAAAAACAGAGGAAAAAAGAATGCAAGTGACAACAGAGGAATTCCTTAACAAAAACACCAGCATAGTCATAGTCAACCAGTCTGAGGAATCACATGATTCTAACAGCCATTCTAACCTACATTTATGATACAGGGGTAGTTTGGGTTTTTTTGTTTTTAAAAAGGCCATTTGTTTCAGGATATCTCAGGACCTACACTTAACTATTTACAAAGTTACTAACTTAAAGCTTTAAATTACAGTAAATGTAATTTACTGTAAATAATTACTGGATTTTCAAACTGATTTATACCATGGAAACTCTTTATGAACACTGAATGAAGCTGATTGTTTTTCTTCTGTGCGAACTAAACATTCAGAAGCTGTTATATAAATGCTGACCTTATCACAAAACATCAAATGGTGAAAACATTCCTAGCCCTTTTGAAATTAGTGAAACTTCATTGATTTTCACTAGTTAAAAATCCAAGATGGTTGCATTCCGAAATCCACAACATTTTTCAGTATCGCTTCATCTCTTACCACATGGAAACATTATGAGGAAAATAACCTTTGACATCAACTTCAGTGCTTTGTTTGATTTTTTTTTATAGCTACAGCATTCCTCTCTGTCAACTACCTGTCTTCATGGGGGCATAAGAGATTAAGTTATGGTAGGAGCCTGAGGGCGCTTAAAAGGTGCACATAATCTGTTCGTACTTAGTTTTCATTCTCTCACAGTTGCTTGTGTTTGACCATACCAGTTTGCCTGTCAGTAGTGGCCCTATTTATAACTGCCTACAAAACAGTACCTCAAGAGATCTAAATTTCGTGCAGTAGACATCATGAATTAAGTATCACCAAGATCCAAAGGTATTGTCCCATTACATATCCCTTTGTACAGTCACGGCTTCAATTTTGAATTGTGCTCACTGATTTCAATGAAAACACCTCCATCACCTTCAGCAGTCCAAGCTCTTATAGAACAGAGGAAACAAAGACTGCTGAATTCTAGAAGGATTAGGAGCACTGGGAAAGAGAAAAAAAATTATATGAAAGATACAGAAAGATATAACACAAAAGTAAAAGAGAAATGAGGTGGAAAGAAGACCAATTGATAGAGAATCCCACTGTGATACAGCACCACATAAAATACAATGAAAGGGTACCTGTTATATATTAACTGCTGCTCTACCAAAAAACAAAACAAAAAAAGCTGCCAGCTGGAAATGAAGGACTGCTTACTCTAAGCAGATAAGATCAACACACCATGCAGTTTAAAAATTGAGAACAAATACATGACATGGCTCTTTGCTAGGTGGTACTTCAGGCAAAGTTATGAAGTGCTTCTCTAGAACACTGATCACAAAATGGATCCCTGAGGAAAACTACTTGTCAACAGTTTCCTCTCCCAAAGAGAGTACCTAGCCAGCACTTTACATTCCTTTTAAGTGCTCTACACAAACATTCTCTCAATGAAATATCATATCCAATTCTTTGCTTCCCTAAAGTTCTATGATGAAGTCTAAAATAAATGATTTCCTGATAGGTCAAAACAGATACGAAAAATATGTGTTTGATAAATATTAAAGTATATTTGGATTAGTATCAGATTCCTAACATTCTTCATAGTATTTGTTAAGAGTTAAGAGAAGAAATCCTGACCTCCTATAGTCTGAAAATATTGTGTGATTCCTTTCAAGACCAACTACATTAATGTCATTAGAATATAAGCTCTATCTTTTTTTTGGTGCCTGTCAGGGAGTGAGTGGAAAGATTAGACAAAGTTATTAAAAAAGCTCTGCCATTGAGTCACAAGGTGCAGAAAGGAGTCCCTTGCTTTCTAAACTCTTTCTCAGAGAAGAGTTTAGGTGCAGTTGAATCCTATCTTAGCCTTGGACTGTGTCAACAGTTTAAATTAAAGGAATTACAGAAGTGTCATCAAATCACTTTGTCCCACAGTTTTTTATAGTTGCAAAACAGATATATTTATATAAAAGTAATTATTTATTATGACAAATGAACAGACAGAAGATCTGAATTGCAAGTATTTACTACACAGTGTAAAAGCTAGAAATCTACTGGTAGATAACATAAAGGAGTATAGTGCACTGAAACAAAGCAATTATATTAAAGCAATTGCATCAAAGCTAACAAAACAAACAATCATTAAGTAGAGATTGATATAACTCACCATACAAGATAACAGGCAGATCCCTCTCTTAACCCCTGGGAGTAACCATGAAGAGGAGTCTCTGCTTCACAGGAGAAGCTCCACACTTCAAGGAAGTATGTGGAAGAGTCTTCTATATGAAAGCTGGACTGGGCTTTTATAGAAAGAAGGGGAAGAAGGTGACAAATGGACAAGATCATGTAGTAAAGGACCAAATAAAGCTTATAATACTTAAAGACACATATTTTGCAAATAAGTAAAGATAAGTTGAAGCTCCTACAAATAACTCAGAGCCATACTCTTTTATGAAAGCCTGCATGGAACTAAGACATATTTTTTTTTTAAATTTGTATTAAGTAAGCACACTGGTATTCTCATAATGCAAAACAGCTTTTCAGGGAGTATTTTAGTGTCAGACTATGTTGTTGTAGTGAACTGCATCAACACAACCCTGATACCATTACCTAAAATCAGTTATCTGCTCTTCCACTGTACCCTTAGGGGCAGACAGTAGTTGGCATGAGAGTGATTCTAATTTCTGTAGACCAAATAAACATATGTACAAACTGACCACAAAGCTGCATCTTGATGTGAGCCATTTGGTAGGTGAATCTGGAAACATACAGGAAGGAAACTTATTTTTGCTCTGTTTTCAGTTGTTTTGTGAGCCAATGGATCTGTATGTGAAAACTGTAGCTTTGGTGGTGACTATACACATTAGTATGAATAAAAAAGATAGGTTGGGATGAACTGTATTCTCCAAGTATTGTTCTCTATACGTATCTTCTCTTTTCTCTTATATAAATATCCTCAGGAGATTAGTGATTATAACAGTACTATATTCACAGTTCTAGTGCCATTCCCTTTGCTTCCCTCAGAGATGTTTCAAAAGGTAGTGAACTACTCACATCATACCAAGCGAACGAACTTGCTTCTCTTCAGAATTTGCAGCTTTGAAGACAAAGCTGCCTACCATTTGCAACAGACTGACGTGATGAAACGCATCGTGTCCCAGCTGAGAGATAAACATTTCCACCTGTGTGGTGGTGATTGCTTAAAAGGGCTTACCTGAATTCCCAGGACAACATAAACATGCACTTGAAGGAAAGAATTAAAAAATTAAAAGGAGAACAGACATGATTATCTTTCCATACTTACCCTTATACTGACTTTTTTACTTCTTAAAAAGCTTTATGGAAATATAAGATGGTCCTACTGATTTGTCATTCTTATACCTACTATATCCACAATACCCCTCCCTCCATGATATTCAGCTTCACTTCCCACAATCATACCCGATGATTCTCTTTGAAGACAACTCCAGGACACTTCATATATACATTGTATGCTGAAAATAAGTAAAGAGGTGCTTACTGTGCAGAATAAAGCACATATATCCCTAGTGACATGAAGATGAATAGAAAAAAAAAACAAATTCAATTAGAGTTTTGACACAAAGACTGAGATGTTCCTGTCAATTAATCCACAAGCCTAACTTGTGTCTAAAACCTTTTCTCCCTGTTAAACTTGCTCTGGTTTTGAAGTGATTTCTGCAAGCTCTTAGAGGGTACTGATGCTGCTTGGTTAAGAGACTAGTAGCCCTAATTAATTCTGCCAAAGATCATCTCTCTAATGTATATTTCCAACAGAAATCTGAGTAAGAAAGGCCTACTTCCCCCCCCCCTTGACTACTATGGCAGATATTACAAGTACTCAAAAGATCTTAATGCCATTCACTGCTACTACTGAAAGATATTTCCTACATAATTTTTTCACAACAACAAGGTAAGTGGGGTAAGGCCTCATGACAAGATTAATCAACAGCAGTCCACAGATGTTTAAGAAATAGTAGCTAATCAGAAAAAAACCACCTTTGAACTGTTGACCATAGAAAAACAAGCCAAGCTAAATCCAAGGTTGCTTTCCTATATCCCGGGGCAGACGGTGGAGGAGGTGGGACTTTCTTTTTGATATCATAATTTCTAGTTAACAAACACGGTATTCTAAGACAGACAGAAAGCTTCTTACTTTAGACCTAAGTCAGTTCCTCAACCGGTAAAAGTATATCCCACTGTAAACCTCTCTCAACCTCTAGATAAAGTGCACAGAATTATTTTTGTCACTGATAAATTTTATATTAAGGAAAATGTCTCTTTCCCTGCCAGAAGCTTTTCATTGCATAGTTTTTAACAGTCTACAACTCCATCGGTTCAGGGTTGTGAATAATTGGAAGTTGTGTAGTTCTCGTAAAATATTTGTCATATGTAATCTGAAATACGTAATCATAAAATAAATACACTACCAGTTTTTAACAGAGACATAAGGATTAATAATTCTAAATATGATATATAAACCTGTAATTGCACAATCTAATTTGGCAGGTATCAATTAGGAAACACTGTATGAGTACACATTACATTATTTTAATTTCATATAATATTTTCCAAATTATGTGGGTATTTCTATAGAAAAAATTTGGAAAAAAAATCACCTACACCTATCTGTTTCAAAATATATTTTGGTTTTATATGTATTCTGTAGAAAAGATTATTCCCCCATAGTTATCCTTTTATTGCTGCCAAATGACAGCTGTAATTATACAGGAGAACTTTCCCCCTTTCCCTGAAGGGGAGAAATTACAGCAGGATACAGTCTGAAAACGAGCCAAATGCTTGTTTAAAACGGTTTGAATGCATAGCAAGTGAGATATTTTTCAGCTGGGGCTCTTCTTTCAACCACACAGAACAATGGCTCATATAAATGCAAAACAGGTGTGAGAAACAGGCAGCATGGTTTCCCCAATCTAACACTATTAACCATCTGACCCAGTATTGGCAGGATGCATCTCAAGAACGTCACCGCTCCCTCTGACAGAGCCCAAGGACCAGAGAACATATTGTGAGAGATAAAGGAGGAAAACAAAAAGTATATAATAAAGTCCTCCATCCTCCTAGGCAAAGAAATATATGACAGTAAAATTTTTAAAGCAGTTGCCCCTGTTTTACGCAGCCTGCTTTTTACATGAAAGAACCAGGAGGACAAAGTCCTCTCGCACACACACAAAACCTTTAAAAAGCTGTTTGAAAAGCTTTACAATTTCTACAAAGAGGCTTCCTGCAGCCCTTTGAGAAGGCAAACAGTGCTTTTAAGTGCTATATTCTTATTCTTTTCAACTTGTAGATAAAATCCAGGTCTGATGGAGAACATCCCCCGCACGCACAGGTTTTGCAGGGGAAGTTAAGATAAATTTATCTCAGCATCAAGATAAATTTATCTAGCTGATAGTGTCATAAGCATGAAATGGACAAGAAAACATATGTCACAACATCACCACAATAAAATGAATATTATCAAGTCTGCAGATATGAGGACAGCATCAGACAAATACATTTAGGGCAAGATTATTAACACAAACTAGTTCAATAGTACAACAGCACAGTAATCATGCAAGCTCCTTCCATATGAAAAAAGACATGCAGATGATTACAAGGGTGGGATTTAACACCTAATAAACATACTCAGCAAAGATATTTTCTTCAGTTAGTGTCCAAGTTACCAGAACTTAATCTACAATCCCCCAAAAAATCAAGGAGTTTCCTTGATAAGGTCACAATGAAAAGTTGTGACCTTAGTTTCCCTGAATACTTCTATTTGTGCCAGTGAAAACTTCGTGGATGTGAAGATATAGCAACAAATATCTCACATCTAAATACATGCAAGCACTTCAGCAGTACTTGCAGCTAAGCATGTTGAACAACATCTTCCACATGCCAAATTGCAAAATCCTGAGTATGGTCTTTAACAGTACAGCATTACAAGAAGTGCTGAAAGCTTTTACTCATTTGTCTTCCTTCTGCCAATTTTTCTTCAATACTGCCTCACAGTATTGGTCTCATAAGCTAAATTCAGGTGAGCACCTAACCATTAAGGAAAGCATAGAGTTTACTACATCCTGTACCCAATAATCACACAGAACTCCTTTCTGCAGTTTACTACAGATCTGAACTGGAACTAAAGCAAAGGTTCAACAAAATACTTCAACTCTGAAAGCCTTATGTTGGTGTAAATTTAAACCATAAATTACTAACTTTTCATTTCCACCAGGAGTGCTTAAACTTTAGTGTACAGGGAGAAGATTATGGTCTTAACCTCTCTATCCATTACAGAATGAAACTCACCAACACCGCTGTCTTCTGCACAATTCATATCGTGTATTTCATATGATCTCATATGAAATCTGTTGATTTTGATGAAATAACATAAATCCATTGTCAAAATTTTAACTTACATTCAGCTCCATGTCTCCATTCTGCAGAGTGCCTTTCACTGAAAAAATAGGTATTTTCCTTTACTGTTCTCCATAAGAATGACAAAATAGGCTGAGAGGGTACCATTTGGTTATATACTCATATCTGCAACTGGAGAAAGGAAAAGAACTAAGCAATGAAAAATTATTGTATAAAGTATTTGGGGAAAATCACTCAGCTGGTCTGTGCCACTGGCATGTGTGTTATTTGACACAACTGCAAGGCAGATCAGGAAATCATAGAAGGTGACAGACCAAGAGTTTTTAAATTGGGTTTAAATTCAATAATATTTTCTGAAGAAATCAAAAATAGACATCATGTGCTGGCCCCAATGGCAATTATCCAAGTTTAAAATAAAAAATTATTAACATATGAAAATACATCATATCAAGGGATAAATGTGCTGTTTTAAACATGATTATTTCCAGCCTGTATTTCCACCTTATGTAATGCAAGTTACCCAGTAACTGATTAATCTTTAAGACCCGATTCCTGTTTTAGCTCTAAGGGAGACGTCTCTGAAGACATTTTCTTAACTTATTAAGGTAAATATGATGTATGGCATTAATCTAGCAAGACATGGAATTATTTTAGGCATGCAGGAAATGAAAGTCAATTTCCACATGTATCAAAAATGCATGCAGGTTAAAACTTGCGCAAAACTCACCCAGGAGAAGGCTGAAAATCAGTTACTCAGCTGATCTGGGAATATGAAATTAAACTTTGGTCAAATATTAGAATCCTTTTCTGAAAAATCCACAGATATAAGCAAAGTAAGACTCTAAACATTATTAAAGCACAGTTACAATTCTTATTGAAGGAATTCTTATGCAAGGAAATTATTTTTAACTGTAATAAGCATATACCACATAGATTTGGGGTGGTGAGAGAAATTATTCTGCACACGTGTGCCGCATTTTTATTTATTTTAATTTTTAATTTAAAGTCTGCCTGAACCAGTTTTGGAAATTTTGAAGTCCTGAACATAGCAATTTTACTTAAGTTACCTATATACTTCTACTGTTCTACAGTTGTGTAATACTTCTCAGATCAAGATAATATTTGAGTTTACTGGCAAATGCAACAAAATTTAACTGAACATCCTTCAATATGTTGTGTTCAAATAAGTGAAAAAATTGCCTTTTCACCTGTTTTCAGCCCAAGGACTGAAGAAGTTTGCACCCGTAAATCTAGTAAAAATCTGACAAAAAAAAAGAGATAAAATACTGAAAAATAAAGCAGCCCACTGAGTCAAATGGATAAGAAGAGCAGCACAGACTTTTGACAAGAGATGCATATTAAGACTACATTTTATTTATTATATACATTTGCAATGTGTATACATTTTGTATGTTTACCAGTCCACTGTTTGCATACTGACTGGTTCCTAGACTCTGGTATTCCACTGCACCAGGAGGACAAATACTTGCACACTTACCCTTTGAAACAGTTCTCACACTTGCAGAGAATTTAAAAATAGCTGCCTCCCTTGAAATCGCAACACACATTACAAATGGTACAACAGGGCAGCACGCCACTGCCTATTCCACTGGGCACAGTGGCTTTCACCACAAGAAATTCATTATCCTCTACTCTGCTAGGCATGAAAGGGTCATGACTTTCTGCCATAAATTTGTGCCCTCATTGAATTTCTACTCCCATTTCTGTATTGTGCCTGAATGACCTTTATATACAGGCATATATCATGCAGTTCTTAAGCTCCATAATTAATTTTTTAGTCAAAATTCTGCCAGTTTTGGCTTTTCTCCAGAGCAATATCTATCCACATTTTAGGAGTACATGAAATCATTAAAGATATACATAGAAATCTGGGCATCTCCTTTCCTTTCTCTCATTCATCCACAGTCATCTTTGGGCTACTGAAAACAACTCCTTAGGTTTCCTAGCCCATATGTGTCTTTTTGCAGGGAAGAGTCACACAAGGAGTGATGCACTTCACACACCAGACAGAAGCATCAACGTATTTGATTGATATAAGAAAATGACTTGTTACCATTGAACAATGTTCAGTGGTAAGTGCAACATTGTTTTAATAAGATTCAATGACAAGGTACCTGAGCACTTACTGTAAAGAGAACAGGGTCAGACAAAACAGTCAGGGAGACCCTCCTACTAAGTCATGAGATTCAGAAAGGACCCTGTAGGGTTCTAAACACCTTCTCAAAAAGAAGTCCATGAGTAGTTGGAGGCAGTCTTAGTCTGGTCAATGGTTTATGTCTAAAGGATTATATATGCACAAACAATCCTTTCTATGACTCAGCTAAGATTTCAAAGTTACAGTGCTCTTATTCCCAGTTCATTTACTGAGTATCTGATGCAACAAGGATTGTCTCAGATTCAAGGAGTAGTAATCTTGAGAGGCATCCCTACTCAAGGGGAGATCCCAGTGTGCAGCACACTTCTGGGCAGGGGAGTTCAATTGGCCGTGGGCTGTCCACTATTTATGGAGTAAGACGACTGATTTATAACTGTATCTGCATAACTTCAAGGTGCAAGACAGCCCTCGGCTACTGTGTTGCTATCTGTCTCCCCAAAGTCCAGCTTCAGCTGGATGCATACATCACTGCTGCCACTAGTGGTTATTGCTTAAGTGGGGTGGGGCAGCACGGCACCACAGTCACTGTTCTGGCATGAGAATCCCAAAGCAGAGGAATGGATAAAGGACCATTCATATTCCTGAAGAGTTTTGGGTTAAAGATTTGCTAAACCATTGGTAGTCTTGTTTTCTATACTCTTCTGTTTGCCAGTTTTGTCTGGGGTCCTCAGTAGGATGAGGAAGGAATTGCCATATATCTGATTAGTACAACCCCATACCAAATCCCAGCCAGAACCAGGCATATCCCCATCTTGGATCAAATTGGGGCATTTTTTATGTGTAAGTTAGTGAAGCTATTCATTATATTAACATTAAAAAAAAGACAAAGGCAATTTTGGTGTAACTTCTAATAGAATAAATGATCAAATAAAAGAATGTGGTGTTAGACTTCTGGTAAATCAAAGACAGCTTGAAAGATAATCTTCAAAGAAAACCAGATAAAATGCCTACACCAATACTCAGATTTAAAAAGTGAACTTATTTACATATTTCCTTATGCATATGCTATTACAAATTATTCACATATGAAATTACTTTTGTTCCAGAAAAGAGTGCCTTTTAACTGATTAATATAATAAACTTTCAAAGTAGCTTAAATTTAACATAGTATGATGGCATGAATAAAGAACTAGTATGCTTTGTATGTTCATCCTACAAATTTCATACTAATTTGTATGTTTAAACAAGCTCCTATACAGTTGCAACTCAACTCATCTTCAAGGAGAAGGAAGTAACCAAAGGAAGAATCTGCATTTAGCATTAGTACTCTGACATTAGACTGCAATTGGATGGCCCCATCTCCACTTGCATCTACTGAAATGCAAAGTTGTTCTCAGAGCTATCAAAGAAGGCCCTGATGAAAATTCATATCATCTCACAGTAACACCTTCCCTATTTACCTCTTTTTAAAGTGTCTGTGCTGCTGGTTGTATCTAGTTCAATCCCTGGATTGAGGATTTTAGTTCGGTTTAGAAATCAACTCAGGTATTATTACATGCATTTTATCAAACTGATACACATGGATACACATCATCAGCAGTGTAGCAGTAGGTTTATTCTGTTTGCGGGGGGAATCACAAGAAATTAGTTGCCACTACAGTGGAATTGCACTATTATTTGGCAAACCCTCACATAAACAGCACAGTCGCTATCGTTACTAAGTTACATCACTTCAACATTTAGTATGAAAATGAGTGATCTGTGTTTGCAAACTTGCAGAAATGATCTTAAAACATTAGGCCAGGTTGGATGGGGACCTGAGCAACCTGATCTAGTGGGCGGCAACCCTGCCCATGGCAGGGGGGTGCGAAACAAGTGATATTTAAGGTCCCTTTGAGCCTAAACCATTCTTATTGTATGATTTATAAAAACGAGGAACAAAAAAAAAAAGAAAAAAAATCTCCTTAATTTTTGAATCTCGTCTTTCTGGAGCATTCTCAGATACATGATACTACAAGGGACCAAAATTATTTTCAATCTGAGAAAAAAACCCAAAATATGATCAGTGGCAATACACATGTAATTATGTACATTAACATTAAAGGCTTTCTACTTGTAAATACAGTATATTCAAAACATATTGGAAGGAAAACAATGTCATAATGAATATTTTATCTCTATTTATGATAAAGACTATTTAGCATATCATTGCATGCTAAAACTAAACACTGCATATCCAGAAAAAATAAGTGAGATTTCCCTTGGTTTATCCAGTTATTTATAAAGGTACATGTCCATGCACACAGACCTCAATGTAAGGTGGTGATCTCAAGTATGACTACGTAGTAAATTAAGAGTTGTAAATTCCCAGTTCCCAATCTTGTACTTAAATATAATGTTTTATTTAATGAGAATCCACTTTCCAAATTTAATATAGAATCTCTGAAAAGTGGTCATTTTTGTGCAGCTTTTCAAACCTTCTATCTCAATGGCAAGTGAGCCTCTCAGAAAGAATTTTCAGTAAGTGGTATCAAGTGGGCCCAAATACCCATTGACCTTGAAAGCAAGAAAATGGAAACAGTCACTTCAAATGATGTAATTTGTATTCTCCAGTAGTGATAGAGTGAATAGCATGCAACTAATCTCTAAAACTCTCAAACCATTAAAATTTACCCTACGGAACAGCTTCATTGTCAGATGAAGAATTGCCAATGCTGGAGAAGCACTGTTTACTCTGCTTTTTTACAACAGTCAAGAGTTTTCTGACATGTTCTCAGGAATGTAATCACCACAAATATTCTAAAGGTAAAGACATAGCTTATACTCTTTGGAGAAATGAAAACAATACGAAAACACCTCCATAAGGTGAGTGACAGCAATTTAAGGACAATGAATTTAAAAAAAAAAATTCTTTAAAATTTCTTAATATGAGATTATTTGAAAGATTTCAGCAGGATAGAAAATCAAGGACTGGTCAGTAATTTACATTTTACATTACCAAAATGCAATAAAAAAATTTAATGGGTCCAAACAAACAAACTAAAAAACACTCCCTAAGCGATGATCAGCAGCACTGGAAACCCATTATACATAACTGGAAGGGGCACTCTTATTTCTTGCAGACAACAGTGGTACCAATAAGAAAAATTCACCACCTCCACAACCCACCCCACACCCCCAAAAAAAAGTTAACATTTCATAAATCTATTCTGGAGGCCATGAGCACTTACTATCACTAACAGTCTTGCAATGTAATCCTTCTTCCACCTCTCAGGGGAGTATTGAGCATATCTCTATGTTAGCATAGTAGCAAATACATACTTGTCATTTCCAACCTAGATATGAATGTTTGAAAATAAATTACTTCATCCTTATACTGCAAACTAGGCTTTTGCCTAAACACGCACACACACAAAAATCCCTTTCCTTCTTCCTCCCTCCTAATGCCAATCTATTTATAGAATGCAATCATATTAGCATGCAAACACTTCTTCCAGCCTAAACAAGACAAGCTTTCATCTGCTTTCGTAGAATCAGCTCTCCCCTTCCTTGAAAGCACTTGCAGCACAACCATTCTCCTTTGCCAGTGGATAGGGCTATGCAGTACTACTGCGGCAGGGAAGGCAACACGGTCAGGGAATACTCA